GCTGACTACTAGGCCGCTCTCCTACTGTGCGCCCCGCGTGCACAGTGCTTGAACACGTGCCTCATGACTGTTCTAGCTATTATAGGAAATTTGTGAGGAACTTCTCTACCATCGCTGCACCCGTTCGCAGATTGCTAAAGAAAGAAGCGATCTGGGAGGGGGATAGAGACTGTACATCAGCCCTGAAGAAGCTAAAGTGGGCCTTGATAGAATACCCAGTCCTCAAGGTAGTCGATCCGTCCTTACCTTTTGTGTCACTACTAATGCAAGTCAGTACGCTATAGGTGTTGTTTTACAGCAAGATGATGGCAATGGGTATAGACCCATAGAGTTCATGTCTGCTAGGATGCCTTCAGAGAAGGTAGCGACATCAACATACGAGAGGGAACTCTACGCTCTCAGGCAAGCGCTAGATCACTAGAAACATTACTTGCTTGGGAGGCACTTCAAAGTCTACTAAGACCACGAGGCATTGAGGTGGCTGAAGACTCGGGCCAAGATGACACCTATGCTAACTAGGTGGGCTGCAGAGATAGATCAGTTTGACTTCGAGCTTAAGCCAGTCAAAGGAAAGTACAATGTAGTTGCGGACGCTCTCAGTAGGAGAGTTGATTCCTTTGGAGCAATAGTATATTATCTGAATATAGGGAGAGTCCTGCAGCAGAAAGTTAAAGACGCGTATGTGCAGGACCCCATTTATAGCGACCTCTTAAGAGAGTTAAGGAGGCCCCAAAGACTGAACCAAATTACCGCACTATTGATGGGTTGTTATTTGAGAAGACTAACGTAGTTGACCGTCTGTGCATTCCCAACAGTGAGGAGATCCGTAGCTTGATCCTAGGGGAATGCCACGACACCGAGGGACACTTCGGTTGGCAAAAGACATTAGCCAACCTCATTTGTGCGTATACATGGCCTGGCATGAAGGCTGACTGCATAGAGTACGTACGCAGTTGTGAAGTATGCTAGAGGAACAAGACCGCTACGCGAGCCCCTCTTGGTCTTCTCAGACCCTTGCCTATTCCCGCAGGACCCGAAGATTCTGCATCCATTGACTTCATAAATGCTGGGGTCAGGAGTAGGCATGGCAAGAGCCAGGTCATGGTTATAGTTGATAGATTTAGCAAATATGCAGTTTTTGTTCCTTTGCCCTCAGAGGCACGTACGGACTGAGTAATAGAGAAGTTCTTTGATCATTGGGTCAGAGCATGGTCTACCGTTGTCGATAGTTAGTGACAGAGATACCAGGTTCACTAGTCAGAACTGGCAGGAACTGATGAGAGTCTACGGCTCTAAGTTATTGATGTCGTCTGGACGTCACCCAGAGACTAACGGTCAGACTGAACAAATGAACAAGATCCTGCAACAAGTTCTTAGGATGTACATTAGACCCGATCAAGTCAACTGAGACGAGATGCTCCCAAAGGCAGCCAGCGCGTACAACAATAGTGTACACTTAGCCACTTGTCGCAGTCCCAACGAATTACATAAGTCCTTTAGACCGCGCAGACCGTTTGAGGGATTGAACCGGGATCAGATCCAGAGGCTACCGGCTGGTACAAGGGAGTTTGCATTACAACGCGAGAAAGAGATAGCTACCGTGGTAGAGAACCTCAGGAAGGCCCAGCACAAGATGATAGAACAAGCCAACAAACATCATCGCCCATCACAGTTCCAAGTAGGTGACTTAGTCTGGGTCAAGTCAAAGGAGTTTGCTTCTGAGGAGAACATCTCGCAAAAGCTATTGCCTGCATATAGAGGACCGTGACCAGTCCTGGAAGTCAAGGGCTGAGAAGATGGACCGTCCTACACGATAAAGATTCCAACACACCTCCACACCTACCCGGTTTTTCATGCATTAAAGTTGTTGCCTTGCACGACAAGTCAACAGTTCCCATCCAGAAGGTATATGATCCCTCCGGATATGGATGGAAGATACGACATTGATCGCATAGTAGGTGAAGATGTGTTTAGAACAAGAGGTAGAGGTCGTCCACAGAAACAGTACAAAGTCAGATTCTCCTTTCAAGAACCAGAAGACGACCGCTGGTTCACCCGAACAGAACTGCTAGAGACTGCTCCCGATGTAGTCCAAGCCTATGAGAGCAAGAAAGGTAAAGGTCCTGCCTTGGACTAAAGTTCTCTCGGAGGACCTCGACTTTAGGCCGGCGGGAGTGAAACGGTTTTCACCTTTGCAGTAGCAGATGCACCCCAGGGCTCGATCCCTAGACCCTGTCCTCACCCGTATACAGTATCAAGTCGACCCCTGTGTGTTTGAACCCGTGACATGTGTCTTGGTAGTTGACTGTTGCCTGTCATAGGTCCGTGTAGTTGTCGGGTTTCGATCCATAGATCTGTCAAGTAGGGGTCGTAGCTGTGTAGGAGTCGTAGCTGCTACAGTCCTGAAAGGTCAAGGTCGTAGCTGCTACAGTCCGGAAAGGCCAAGTCTACAGACTTCCGGATGGTCCGGAACTGGCCTTTCGAGAATTGTTCACGTTAGACCTTAGGCAAGTGGGCAAGTGGGTAGTCCAACTTTGCCTAGTCATCGGTGCCCAGTTCCAGTCTCACCTTGTCAAGTCAGCAAGTACCATGTGGGACTGTGTGCACCCTGGGCCCGGTGGAAAGGAGCAGACCAGCGACCAACAGAAGTATAAATCAAGAGGCAGCGTCCAGTTATGGATTCATTCTGTGTGAGCCATGCGGAAGCGCTGCCCAAGCGTCTTGTGCGAGGTGGTCTGCAGATCCCTGAAGTCCAAGTGGGCTTCGAGGGAGACATAGCGGCCATCGCCGTTACTAGCTAGGAGATAGAAGGCAGCCATAGCTGCCATAGGTTAGAGTTATTCTGTAGTGAGTGTGTGTGTGAGTGTGTGGTACAGAGTGAGTGTGCGTGGAACATCCAGGGAGATCCAGAGTGGTATGCGTGCAAACGGTTGCTGTGAATACAGTGTCGGAAGAGTGACGTGAGGGCGCTCAGGCGCCATAGCCATTTGCAGCTAGGCTGGGCCGCCGCCCGGCCAGGCGTGCCCGGGGGGGTCCGCCCGGCGAAACCAGGCGATGCAAAAACCCAGCAAGGAATGTTCTTTTTTTTTTTTTGGAAGGCGGGGTTGTGCTGCGCTACCCTAGAGGACCCCGAATCT